GGAGCTGTTCGGGCGGCCCGGGAAATGGTGCAGAGTTTTTTGGGGCATTATAGGGTTGAAGCTTCTGGCTTTCGGAGGCTCAGGGTCCTTGCAAGGGTCCGGGGTTTCGGTGTTGTCGTGTCGCTGAATGCGACGGCTCTGCTGTATCTTGAGCCAGGAATCAAGAGCTGCACCTGACCACGGGCAACTGGAGACCGATTCTGGCGCGCCCGCGGCGGTCTATAGGGTTCATAGGGTTCAGCGCGGCGTGTTCACTTGGCGTTTGATTCGGGTTGTTTGCTGATCCTGGTTCAAACAGGGTGGGCACTCCTGCGTCAAGATAGCCAGCAGCTAGCAGCGAGCGCCTGTATCGCAATTCGCCCTTCGCGGTTTCTGTTCTTCAGCCCCAGCCCGCTCGAGCCCAAAATGCATCTAGCGTAGTGGGCACTTGTAGTCCCAGCTGTGGATCAGGGCCATAAGCCATGACAGCCATGATGCCATAAACTGCTGAGAAAGACTTCGGACCTTTAGGCCTTGGGGCCACGAAGCAGCAGTCCCATGGCCCGAAGTGCAACGTCTCAAACATTTCTGATTATGCTCGCCTTTAGACCCCTCGACCCCTCGAGCCCTCGAGCCCTGGAGCCCTGGAGCGCCTCGTGAGCGGCGCGGAGACCCCGCCCCCCTTCTTGTCTGGCTCCACTCTCCAGGTTGCCGCCTTGCAGGTCGCATCCAAACCCTGCGAGGCCCGTGGCGAGGGCAGAGCTTTCTCGGGTGCAACTTGAGGGGACGGGCCGAGAGCTCGCGTGGGATTCAGGGATGCTTAAATTTGTAAAACTTTGTCCGTAAAAAAGAGAGATGGAGAAGAGGGCGGCGGCGGCAGCGGAAGAAGAAGCAGAAGAAGAAGAAGAAGAAGGAGAAGGAGAAGAAGAAGAAGGAGAAAACGAAGAAGAGAATTAAATGGAGAAGAAGAAGGCAGCGGATGGTGATGATCATTACAACAAGGGCGCAAAGGATCTAGACTTAGACGAAGAGCTAAAGAGAGAACCGGAGCTGGAGGTCTGCCAAAGTTGAGTTTGGGGAAGCGTCAGCCTTAATGTGACTGCGAGAGTTTATGCTAATCAGGCACTGAACCCTCTGAACTGCTGGACGCAAGACCTGCCAAATGCCCAGGGCGGTGCGACCGTCGGTGCCCTCTTACAGTAGTTCTTCCGATGTTCTTTCATCCTGCCCCCCCCCCCCCCCCCCGCAATGCAATATAGGGCTTAAGGACTTCTAGGATGTAGAATGGTAGACCAGCAGAAGCCTGAACCCCGCAGCACCTCAGCTTGTCTTCACTCTTCTCAACCCTGCTTGTTTACCAACGCGTGCCCCCTAAGAGATCCTTCCACCCTGACCTCCACGGAGGACGTCGGTGCCTGGAAGGTGGCCTTCGAGAACCGCCTGCAAGCTGTGCTAGGTGCAGGGTCTCAGGGGGTCTCAGGGTTCAACGTTTAAGGCAGTTGCGTCTCCGAGCCTCGAAAGCTGGCACAGCAGAAGAACAAGAGACCTTTAGTCATTAGTCAGAGGCTTGTGCAACTCCCCTATAGACCCTAAACCCCAAGTTGAAGTAGTTCAAGGCTGAAGGGTTCCTGAAGTTCGGAGGAACAGTCCGCATAGCCTCCGGATGTGCCGTGCTCGCAGCCACTAACCCCTGAAGTCTCTCCGCTGTTTGGTCACCGTGCCCCTTCTGCAGGTCTCCGCTCCTCCGTGCTCGCCTCAGCTGGACTCAGGCTGAACGTTGAGATGCGGACGTCGGCAGCTGTGGGCAGCAAGCTTGAAGATGTTGGGAATGGGGTCCCACAAGCATTGCCTGAGGATTTCAAGCAGTTGGAGCTGATGATGCTGCAAGGCTTAGGCAAGGATGCGCAGGCCATGCAAGAAGAACTTTGTGTGCTTGGGCGCCTGTGTAGGCTGCGTAGGTTTCGGTTTATTCAGTTTGACTTCGGCTTGCATGTGAGAGGCATTTTGCTTCGCGCTTTCAATTCCAGCGTTCTGTGCCAGGGCTCCATTTCATTTCGATCCTCGCGTCCGTTTCCCTTCCCGTTGCGATTTCTGTTTCCCTTCCTTCCCGCAATTCCCGCAGTATGGAGTCATTTCCAGTCTACACGACTGCGGATCGAAGCTCAAAATAGGATGACATCAAGCGCAGGGGGAGGACACCAATCGCAGTCTCCATCAAAATGAGGACACTTTTAAACGATATGGTGATGTGGAGGCTTACTCCTCCCACCCCCCCACCCTTCTGTCGGCCAAAGCCTTCCTCCCACCCAAGCAACATAGTGACCAAGGACCAGAACCTTTTTTGCATGTGATCCGGGAGAGGGAAGGGGCTTCGCTTTTGCATTGCAGGCAGTTCTGGGAGACTACATCATAGGCGGGGGCCTTTGCTGCTTCTTGGGCTTGCCAAGCCCGGCTCGAGCTTACAGCTCCATGTCCTCATGTCCTGGCCTTAAACAACCAAAAAGAACCTGCGACTGAACAGGGCCTACGATTGGCGAAGGCTCGTTTGCAAAGGCCGGGTGTCACAGCTCAGGGCCCCACTCAAGTATGAATAGGATTGTGATTTTTTGGGAAGCCAAATAGCCTGGAAAGGTCAAACGAGCAGCCCGCCTCTCGACACAAGAGCTGGTGGCTGTCAAAGCTGGGGCCTCGGGGGAGGTATGTGCGGTGCAGGCGTGCGCGGGCAGAGAAGAGAAATGAGAAGCATTATCACACATTATCACGCGATGCTTATGCAAGGCTTGGGCAGAGGCCATTGCCTTTAACCACCTGCATGTTCCGACCATCCGCCGCCCAGATTCTTGCCAACCACTCGGAGTCTGCGGAGACGGCGTGGGTGGAGGCAGGACCGGGTCGGCGCCGTCAGGGGGGTCTTGTTTGTCTGACCCGGTGCGCTTCCTTGAGTCGGCTTCAGTGTGAATCCTCAGCCAGCACCTGTGACAGGCGCAGATTTTGAATCGCCTCCACCACCCCCACATAGCCGCATCCCTGGGAGTGAACTTTCCAGGGTCAGGGTTGCTCATTCTCCTTCTTGTTCTTGTTCTTTTTGTTCTTCTTGTTCTTCTTGTTTGTTTTTCTTGTTGTTCTTGTTGTTATTGTTCTTCTTGTTCTTGTTGTTCTTGTTGTTCTTCTTGTTGTTCTTCTTGTTGTTCTTCTTGTTGTTCTTCTTGTTGTTCTTCTTGTTCTTCTTGTTGTTCTTCTTGTTCTTCTTGTTCTTCTTCTTGTTGTTGTTGTTGTTGTTGTCGTTGTTGTTGTCGTTGTTGTTGTCGTTGTTGTCTTCAAATCTCTTGGGATGTTGAGGGTCATGATATGTCATGATGCGATGGGGTGATGAGGCTGGACGCTTCGTGATTTCGAGGTTTCGATGTTTTCTCCAGATCCCAATAGGGGCTTCTCCGAACTCCTCTCTTCAGGGTTGGCTTGGGTTGACATGCCAAGCAGGCCTTTGCACTCTGACTATCGTCCTTGCCTCACTTGGAGACATGTCGACCTTGCAAGATGCTTCAGAAACACAAGGAGTCACGCCATGTCGCGCACACCCCCCCCCCCTCCCCGTGCGCCCACACGCACGCACGCCGGCACCCAGGCACGCAGGCACGCAGGCACGCGCGCACGCATGGACATTCTTGGATTGGGCTATGCCACACACGCCGCTCTTGCTGGATCCCCGCGAGATAACGTAAGGTCGTAGAGGAAGGCAAAAACGCGCATGAGAAATGGAAGTATTCTCTGCACTTTCTCAGCATCGTGAATGAAGTGTTCCGATCCGTTCCCCTGACGATATGCTCAATGAGAAATGTGCTGTGCACCTTCTCCGTATGCGCAGTGCAGAAGTGCAGTATTGCACAGGCTGCACAGGGACCGCGACATCAACGCCGCACATGCAGGGACTCTGACTTCGATTCTTATGTCCTTTAGGGACTTTGCACGTATGCCGTCACATGCTCCACAAAGATTGTAGCATCCCCCCCTCTTGCTGAAACATATATCGAAGTTGACGTTGCGTGTACAGCGATGTTTTACACACTCGCCCTCGCACTCACGCGCGTGTAGAGGATGAACTCAGCCCAGAACTGCCAGCGCCATAGATTCCATAGCTCAGGTGAGGATGCATGAGATGATAGAGACGTGCGGTCAATATCTTCTCATCATGGAGTGCCTCACCGGGGCCTGTCTTGCTTGAACTTTATGAATTCTGGACACGGTGCTGAGTTTCTCAAGCTTATCAGATTTCGTGTATCGCTTCGGCTCGTCTTGTCAGGTACGCAGGCGGTGGCAGTCTTTACGACTACGTCGAGAAGCAGCAGCGCCTTGAGGAGCCAGAGGTGCGCATAGAAGTCTTTTCACCGGATGATGCACCCTTTGCTCCCTGCCGGCTCCAGAACAGTCCTCGGGAGCTCAGCTTGAAGTAGACAACCGTTTTTCCAACCAAAAAACCGCGGCTTGCGGCAGGCCTGCCGCATCTTCTGCCAAATCATTGCTGGCCTGGAGGAGGCCCTTGCCATGCGTGCGGCTACATTTTGGGAGCTTATTTCGGGTTTTGCATGTCGTTCTGCAGCAGTTGGGATTTTCATTGTGGGCTGGGGAGCAGCATGAAGAAGCTAGCCCCTTTGCATTGTCCAACAGATGCGCGCAAGGAACATCAGACGAGACCCGTTGTATGAGCACTGAGTACCAAAGATCTTTTGACAAGAGTTCACGTTGCAAGGTTCATGCCGCGAACATCGTGCACCGAGACCTCAAGCAGTGCACTCGGAACCTCAAGAATGCTTGTGGTGCCGAGTTGTTTGTTGGATCTCTGCTTCATGAGTGCCAGAAATCACGTGCAGGCTGGCAGCATGTCACGTATGTGTGCAGCTGCTGCGGCCTTCCAAAGGATCCCAGATAGGAAGCAGATGGCAGGTAGCTAGTTCTAGACACCTGGTGCCAAGCAAGCTGGTCCTCATCTGCATGGGCCTATGCCAAATATACCGATTCAAAAGAATCCCAAATGATCCTGCAAAGTTGGTGTCGGCCTACTCTACTCTTGAGCTTGAGAACAGCCACGGCGGTTGGCGGACAGTGGGGAATGTGGGGTGGGGGAATGTTGGCCAACGGAAGTGGAAACCGGGGCTGTCTGCTCACCTTCCCGACTTTAGAGGCCGTTTTGACACACGAGAGGAGCGCACACCAGCCCACCTCCAGCAACGCATGGCTATTGGAGAAGCGCACCGGACAGCACCGGAACTTCCCAGGTAACGGAATGCGGGAAGGTCCGCCCATTCACCCTACCGTTCAGGGGAAGGACATGGGATCCTGCCCCGAAGACCTAAACTTCCCAAACTGCTTGCCAATAACAAACACAGAGTGTAAAAGACGGCACAGGCTCGAGAACATCCTCCTGGACGCGGATCACAACGTGAAGATTGCAGACTTCGGAATGGGCGCAGCGCTCAAGCCTGGGCCGGGGACCCAGTGTTTGTGGCGTGTTGGGGCGCCAAAGCCGAAGCGCTTCCCTTCTATTATAGGGGGCATTGCCTGGAATGCAAAACTACAAGCCCAAAGGCCGAAACCACCTTCCCGGAGCCGCAGGCAAACGCTCACAACAAGATGTGGGTCTTTGGAGTATGCGGCTCCAGAAGTTCTAGAAGGCACGGCAGGGCTTCAGCTTCGATGGTGGGGGCCTCTCCCGAAACTGAGCGAGTGGCAATGGTGATCACGTGGTAGTACGTGGCACATGATCCTGTTTGCCTCGAAGACGATGCGAGACTGTGTTTCGAGTTCGTTGTGGAGCGACTGGCGGATGTTGAGAATTAATCTAAGAAGCAGCCGTTCTGCTGGCGCTGTTGCCTGCTGTTGTCTGCTGTGGAGTTTTTCGAGGCAGAGAGTGCGCAGCGCCCCAAGCTGGCACTGGATTGCAGCTTCTGTCAAAGAGCAAAGCTTTCCGCCCGGTCGCAGACGTTGAGGGGTCTTGGGTGTGAGCCTTTGTGCCCACGCCGTGAGGTCCCATACGCCTCAGATCTCTGGAGCTGCGGCGTGATCCTCTTCAGCATGATCTGCGGGGACCTGCCGTTTGAGGTGCAGCCCGCAGCAATCGTTGGAATTCGTGTCTGGCGCTTGAGCTCACCGTAGCTGGTCAAGCTGCCCAAGTTGTGACCTTGTCGTCCCACCCCGACGATCACCCCGACGATCACCCCGACGTAGTTCCCTAGATAGACCAGAGCTTCGTGGTACTTTTGTGTTTTGTGCATTTTCTAGTGACTAGTGCCCTCTCTTGGCGAGGACGAGGACGACCTCTGCCTGAAGATCTTCTCGGCGAGCTACGAGATCCCCCGGTTCGTCTCAAAGGTGCGCTGGGGGGTTCGGGGGTGATCAGGGCTGAAGAGTCTAAAGTTTGGGCTCCAGGGTGGGTTCGGTTCTCTTAGTCAAGCAAAAGCCCCTAATCTGATATGAGCTTTTTCAGCCAAGTTCTGAGGTCGCCGAACCTATTTGTTGTTGATAAAAGCAGTCTTCCTAAAATCATCCCCTGGCTCATCCTTGCCTTATTCGCCTTATTCCCCAAGTCTTCCTCTGGTATTTCTATCCTGGCCGGTCTGCGTCTCTGCGTCTCTGCGTCTCTGCGTCTCTGCGTCTCTGCGTCTAGATTTTTGTCAAGAGACATGTTGCGGAGCTTCGCTCCGCGAAGGCACAGAGGCCCCTTCGGGTCACATGATCAACGTTGATTTGAGGAAGATTGGGAAGCCGGGATTTTGAGAGAGGATTGTTTTAGGACCATGTTGACGATGACTTTGCGGATGATTTTGGGAAGGTTGGGAAGCCGGAATTTTGAGAGAGGATGATTTCAGGATGAGGTTAAAGATGTTGAGAATGAGTTTCGGAGGAACAGAATCTTTCCGAAACCCAATATTGCAAAAAACAACTCATAACCGCAATCATGCGCGTCCGAAGCCCCAGACACTTCATTGGCAGCATTTTGTGCTGACACGCTGGGTGGAGCACCATCCGTCACCTTGTACGTGTCGGGTGTATGGGGTGTATCCTGGAGAAATTTCCCAACACGTGAGGGACCTTGGCTCACCTGTCAGGAAGCGGCCGGCCTGATCGCCGGCCTCCTGAAAGTAGAGCCCTTGCTCCTGGGCTGCGCTTGATGCTGTGGTCTGCGCTTGAAGGGGCGGCAGTGTCCTTTTTCTTGTTTTTTTGCCTTTGTTCTGTGCATGCTTTTGTCCACTTCGCAGTCCAAGTCGCAAAGTGCCGGGCAACTGACGGCAGCCGTGGACACACCGGTCCACTCCGAGGTTCCGCTTCTCCATCGCGCAGGTTCGTGCCCACGCCTGGCCCGGGGGCCCATGTCAATGTCAATGTGGATCCATGTCGCGACGGGTCGGGAAGGGAAGGCGCTCGGCGATCGGCGAGGGTCCTGGCTCGGCAAAAGCCACCGCGTAGTGTTGATGACTGCGTTTCTTGTTTCCCTTTCGCAGATTATCTTTGCATGCCCGCTGAGGTACCTGCAAATCGAGGCCTCCGTAAGGCAGCCGCAAGGTACCGCCCAGACCCGGCGCGTGGGGAGCCGAGTTTTGGCTCTTGGCTGTTTTGGATGTTTCTTGTTGGCTGAAATCGGAGCCTGGCATGAGCCTTGGCATGCGATGCGGGTAGCATCTTGGCTTGTTTTTGCCCCTCGAAGAGTGATACAGTCATACACAGCCCGCCCTCCCTTCTTTCAGCTTTGAAACCCAGGCAGGCTTGGGGGCGGGGAAGGCTTTTTTCGTTCGAATGCGCGAGGCGAAGACCGCGAAGACCGGGCACACAGGGCACGCCGGGAGCAGCCTCATGAGGCGCGCCAAAGCCAAAGACACGCGCACCAAAGGAAAGACCGAAGCAAGCCGTCGGGTCCGTTTGTCCGTTCTCGCAGGAATGCCTGGTGCGTGGCCAGGAGTCGCCGCTCGGCGAGTGAATGGATACGGCTCCCTGTTGTTGGCTCGCGTTTTTGAACAATGTTCAGGGTCGAAGCAGCAGTCGTGGCGTAGACAGCCATACTGATGCAATAGTGATCGTGACTACTCCACTTTCAGGAACATTCGGGGACTCTCGTTAGCAAGGAAATCAATGGTCAGGTAGCAATCTTTAAACTCCTTCGCCCCTTGAGCAAGCAGATTCTGTGCCGAGCAGGCCAGGATAGGCCAGGAGCAAGCGACATGCTTCCTCAGACCATCACTCAGAGCAAGCTCCCGTGCAGTTCTTCCTTCGCTTTTCTTTTCGAACCTGGGTTTTTGCCACCCAACTCCTGTCCTTCACGCGGTTAACCATTTCGAGTTGAGGCTCTGAACGAACCAACCGCTTAGGAAAGAAGCGCGAAAAATGCCTAGACTTACTCGGCTTCCTGGATCAATTGAAAGTATCCATCTCTTTCTTATCTTGCCAGGTGTCCCCCACTCGGGGATGAGCCAAAGTCCGAGCGCCATGTGGTGATGCGCTGACTGAGACTTCTTAGCCTCCATTGTGAGAGTGCTACATTTCTTCGGTTGCAGAAGGATCGCCGTTGCGCCTCTGAAGGAGACCAGTTCTCCGCCAAAAGCAGCTGCGAGCACCATTCCCCAGCAGTGCCAGTGACAGCAGTGACAGCCACAGCAGTGACATCGCACGGAGATGCATAGAGGCATGGAGCAGAGCTGAGCATGGATGCAGAACGCTGGCGACCGCTCGGGCTCGAACGTGCAGCTTCGTGCCAGCTTCGTGCAGCGGTGTGCGCGTCACAACATGCGACAAGCCTGAAAACACGTTGATTCACAACAGAACACCACGGACTCGACCTGTTGGTTCGCCATGTTGGTCCTGGAGCCTCCCGAAGAGGCACAGATCGCATCCGTCCAAGCTTGAAATCTTCAAAAGCCTTCTGTAATCCTCAAGCCCCGTAAAGCTCAAACCTTCCCTGAGCTCGTGTCATGGCCACTAGTCAGCAGGCCATGACCTTCCAACCTGAATACGTTAATAAATGCCTTATCAGCCTTGGGAATGCTGCAACCGAAGAATCACCCCGGCCGTTAAGTTCCCCAAGAAGCAGATGTTCCCAAATGCAGTCGTTCGTGCGTTCATTCTCAAAGATATGGCAGTCGTTGGGCCGTAGGTCATGAAAGTTGGAAAGCATCCCTGGCTCAGTCTCTCTGAACACCCTATGAACCCAGATCGCCAGGCCCCGTTCATGCCGGGGTGCCGGGGCGCGCAGTGCATACAGGCGCCGATCTTAGTTCTCTCAGGGCTTGTGCTTTGCAGGGTTTGGACTGTTGGATTCCGTGCGGCTCAACGTGGCTATGCGGCTATGTGGCCATGCGGCTATGTGTGGCGTTGTGTTTGGAGCTGGTCGTTCAACTATTCAAACCGTGAGCCCAAAAAGAAGAAAGGGTTTGCTATGGAACGTTTCGGGCGAGTCAGGCTTTGTCTTGAAGCTTCGGTGCAGGAAGAGAGGGAAGAGAGATCAGTGAGATCAGAGATTTGGAGGTTTAAGATGAATTTCAGTTCGAGGGTTCTGGGGCTTCGGACAGCAGAAGCATACAAATCTGGATCATGCTGGGTGTGCAGTGTGCTCAACCTCAAGTCTCATGCCTTCCGTCCTTCTCCCCCCACTTCGAGCTACCCAACCTTATAACGCCCAGACAAGTCTGTGAGGGCTTTGTCCAGCGAATTCGCCGCCGACGCGCCGATCGTCGTGCAGCGAGAGCTGCTCCAGAATCCTCGGAGCGGGGGGTTTTGGTGCGTTTGGCGACCATAGGGTCCGTCTACGTTCCGCGGGTCTCAAGGGATTGTGCGTGTTCGGGCTTCGGGCTTGGGGTATTTGAGGTAGGTTCAATGTTTGAGGGGGTCTGGGATTGACGTTGGCAGATAGCTCTGCATCTTGAGTTGCCAGTGTACACACTACCTGCGTGAAAGACTTGAGGTATAGGCGTAGGCCCATACACGCCATCAAGCTTTTCACATGGCACAAGAAAGACTCATCTGGCTATGCTGGCTC